GAATCTGGACCGACAAATTTGATATTTCAAAATTTTAAAACTTCGAAATTCTCGATCTACCATAACACATAATGGCGATACGAATATTAGAATTCGTATAGAATTAGGATTAAGACAGCTCTGCTGTGATCATATGTAGAATTATTCTTTTATTCAGTATAAATATGCGCCGATTAATTGTGCGATTTATCGCGTTTAATCGCACGATTAATCGGCGACTTTTTTGGCTTGTCACTATGGAAACCCAGCAGAAAAGTCACGATTAATCGGCAAAAGTCAAGCGATTTCGTCGACATGAGTATGTAACCCACATCCTAACTCGACCGTCATTTGGAACCTCATTCGACCCGCGTTCGATGAGGTTCTTTTGCGGTTATGTGAACTGTGAAGAAGAGAGTGTGTACGTACACACGGGGAAATTTTGTTGTTTCACGACTTTGGGATCGCGCAATTGCGATGGCATCAAATGTGTGGCCATGTATGAACTTCCTATAATTTCGCACAAGTTCACAAGCGAGGACAGAGATGGGCAACTTCAACTGCGGAGTTGAGCTTCTTTTTAGTGGAGTTGGAGTTCAGTTGGAGTTGCGTATTTATTAGATTAGAGTTGACTTAAGTTAAGATTTTTTCAACTCCAACTCCATAACTCCAGTTAAAAATTTGCATTTTTACTGCTTTCTGCAGTGTTCACATTAGAGCTGATCGAAACAAGTCTCTCGTTTTTTCTTTCCCATCTATAGAAGAATGATCTGGAAGAAATACACACAAAAGAAAACGAAACCTTATGTCGGTGCACTCTGTTATTCTTGCTCACTTATCCACACCATGTGTTGTTATAATCGCTGTTATCTCTATAAAATTAGACAATATTTCAAGTGGCAACATCCAGTTCGTCTAATTCTCTCAAAATAAGTTCCTGTCGGAGTTGAAACGGAGTTGAAGTTGAACTTCTTTAAGTGAAGTTGGAGTCGAACTTAGCCGGAGTTGCCCATCCCTAAGCGAGAATTTCTTTTCACACGTGTCTATACATCATTGTACAACTTTCGCTAATGATCACGTGCGAAAAGTTTCCGTGATATGCAATTTTCAGGCAGTTGACAAAGAACAGCGACATCTATTCTTCAATGCCGGTTTTCTTGACCTGTTTAACGCTTTGCATTCGTTGTATAATAATTACTTCAATTCTATTTTCTACCAGAAAATTGTTACGTTTCTTTGCACAAATGAGGAGGTTTCACTTAGCAACGTCAAACCGAATGCAGTGTATGATGTCGAAAGATTAAAAGTCAAGTAACCTGATATCTATTCCTTTTATTTCTATTTGCAACTGTAAAAAATAACAAATACTTGTGAGAATCGTCGAAGAGAAGTATGGCCTTAGCAACATCACCTAGACGTGATACAAGTCGACAGTTACGTCCAACGGGTTTAGAAACAGATGGTTTTACTGTAAAATCATTATTAAAAAATGCTAAAGTAAGAAACCTTGACTTCATGGTAACTAGAACTTTTTCTATAACTGTCGTTTCTTATAGGTAACACCGCCAAAAAATTCAGGCGCAACTACCATTCGTCCAAGTAAACCTACAGCATTTCGAAAGTTTTATGAACGTGGAGATTTTCCTATTGCACTTGAACATGATACAAAAGGAAACAAAATTGCATGGAAAGTAAGTAAGAAGATAGTTCAGCTATCTAACTATAAAATTCATTCTTTTTTTTTCTTTTTTATTCAAGGTTGAAATTGAGAAATTAGATTATCATCATTATTTACCATTATTTTTTGATGGTTTATGTGAGATTGAACATCCATATGATTTTTTTGCTCGACAAGGAATACACGATATGCTTGAACATGGCGGAAACAAAATATTACCTGTGAGTTAAGTTTTTTATATCTCATATATACTGGCAGAAAACGGATGTTCGTAATTAATTTTCAGGTCATACCACAATTGATAGTTCCAATTAAAAGTATGTTGTTATTGTGGAAATCATAAGAAGTATCTCTTCTTTTTTATAGAAGAATGTTTTTTATTTTTTTTGTTTATTTACTATTTAGATGCTTTAAATACTCGAAATCATAAAGTGATATGTACAACTTTGAAAATTTTACAACAATTGGTAATGTCAGCAGATATGGTTGGTGAAGCACTTGTACCTTACTACAGACAAATATTACCGATATTTAATTTATTCAAAAATTGGAATTGTAAGCAATAATTTTCAATCTAATTAATAGTTTGAAGAAAAAAAAATGTTTCTTCCTTGTAGCTAATCTTGGAGATGGAATTGAATATGGTCAACAACGACGAGAAAATATTGGTGATTTAATTAATGAAACACTGGAAGTATTTGAACGTCATGGTGGTGAAGATGCATTTATCAATATTAAATATATGATACCCACATATGAATCGTGCATGTTAAATTAATTTAACACATTTTGTTTCTCTTACACATCAATTTTTGGTTAAAAAATACCGACTAAGACTCAAGTCTCTTCTTCTGTGATCGTTTTCTGGATTTACATATCTTTATACATTTTACAGTTTGTACGTTGAATTTTACTTTGTGGAAGAAATAAATGTAAGCTCATGTTTATATTTCTGTATAAAACGGATTTCTCTTTCTTGTGATAAAAAAAGTCAAAAGTTAAACGATAAACTATTTGAGAAAAAATATCGCCATGGATGCTACTTCTCACGCTTCGTCTTACTTTATTTAATCAAAGTTACTATCCGTTTCAAAACAGAAGTTTCTTCGACAACTCTTTTCAGTAATTCGAGACCGAACAAAGTTCGAATTTTCATCATTTTGTAGAGAAGACTTTACTTCATTTTTCGCGCAAACGAACTGGAAAAGCTCACTTCTTTTACGTGATATACTTGATGCATTTCTTCCAGAGGAGGTCGCTACTGGAGATCTGTGGGACTGTCCCGGTCCCGCAGGACTTTTAATGAGACCAGGAACAGGTTTTTTTGAAAACAGTCAAGTATGGAACATAAAAACTTCTTAGTCTCTGTGCTTGTTTGTATGTAGACACCAGTTCTGCGAGAAAGAACTCATAGAAAATTCTAAAAGTCTTCAGTTAATATCACCCACGCATGCTGCTCCACGAGCCACATTACAACCCGCTGACTTTCGAATTATCGGCGTACTTTGAAAAAATATTTACGAGACCACGGGACCGGGACTGAAACCAAAATTTTTTTCCTCACAGGACCGGGACCAAACTTCATGGGACTGGGACTAAAAACGTTTGGTTCTGCAGACATCTAGTCGCTGCACATAGCTTCTCATTCTGGCATCCTTAAAATGTAGCTGAGATAGACTGAAGTGTTCTTTGCAGAAATGCAAAATACCGACCTGTTCCATGTCGAACATTTTTATTTAATACCGTCGGTTACCGCAGTATAATTTGAAATCGCGTTCAGTCCACCGTTTCCAAAGTCATTCACCTTTTGTTTTCATGGTTAGAGAAGTGTTTAACCAAGACAAAAATTTTCTTTCTCTTCAATTCGATTTCTAACTTTTTCTCCTACTGACTAGTCGAAGTATATGACCTTTTTAGCTTGAGTTCTACAGTGAGAGAGTTATTATCTCACTATCCGTCGTAGGATGTTCTACGGTGACTGCCATCCGTGACCATCTACCAATCTAAAAATAAAATAAAAACCTTGAAACCTATCAGCGGTATTCGTTTTCTACCGGAGGTATTTTGAAAATACTGAATTTTGTCGGTATTCAAGACATGAGCTATATCTGCCATGGTGTTTGAATGGCATGCATTTTGCTCAGATCTATATAACATAGCCCATTAGATGATGTAAAAAATGCCTGCACATAAAGGTTCTTAACCACAGTGACTCTTTTGACAAATTGTTACTTTTGTTTTTGCAAAAATATCATCAACCCAACGGGTGGACCAGAAATAATGACACACCTTTATTCTCTTTTCTTCCAAGCACAACTGAGGTTCAAAGATTCCATTCTAAACTCATTCGACAGAGAATTTTCTACTCTATAAAATCCATTACCTTCTTTCGTTACATATTATTTCATTATTTTAAAAAATAGTGCAGAGTAGAGACAGATAAAGAGAATAACTGGAAGGAATAGGTTATAATTACTTTTGTACATGACCTAATTGATTATTTAGTAACGCTTCTGTTAGCTATTCATTACAGGTACTTTGCGAATTCGACTTCATTAAATTAATCCGCATTGAGAAATGAAATTTTGCCACTAAGAACGAATGATCTTGAAATTATGGGGTTATTCATGTATCTGTTTTTATCTATATCCCGTATCGTTTCGAGAATTCGTTCTGACTTCAGAAGATTGATAGTACTTAATCCGCTGAACTTCTTGATACCACCTTCTTCTCTCAATTACCATATTATTTCTTGAAAAGCAGAAAATTCTCTATCGTATGAGTTTAGAATGGAATCTTTGAACTTCAGTTGTACTCGGAAGAAAAGAGAACAAAAGTGTGTCATTATTTCTGGCCCACCCGTTAGATGAAATATACAAGTTTATGTCATTATTCGAGAAAAGTAAAAAAAGTCAAGTAAAAAACACTTACTTCTAAAGAAAACCTTGTCAAACAATCAAGCACTTTTACTTGAGTTAGTTTTAGAAATTATACTGAATTCTTGAGTTATTTAAAAAGTATTGGAGAAACTTCTATGTTCCAATGGCTAGCGAAGGCCATTTTTCACAATATTGAAGTCACTCCACCAATGCAGAGCTGAAGATTGTTTAAGATGTTCCATCGGCAGCAGGGGTGTGACAGTTCCATATCAGTTCCGAGAGCGGGAGCTAGCACACCATTTCAAGCTCATATGAAAGGAGCTGATCAACAGCTCACATGAGTAGGAGCTGGAGCTGGTTAACAGCGCACATGA